TTGTTTTAATGATTGTGGTTGTTATTTTAATGCATTGTATGTTCTGTGGTTTCATTGTTTTGCAAAAATGTATCTGCTGGTAGACAAAAATAATAATCACGTGCCTACCAGTGTTGAGCACCTTAGAAACAATTCTTGGAGGCCCTGAAGGCATGAGCTTATTTGATAGCTTTCAACCCTGTTTTATTGTTTGCATAATGTGTTTTATGACTTTTATGATTATTTATTTTATGACGGAATAGGTATTGTCTATTTGCTTTGTTTATTATTTCATGTTGTAAGCCACCCTGAGTTCCCATGGGGAGATGGGGCGGAATATAAATAAAGTCTGATTGATTGATTGCTAGGACAGAGACCAAGATTTTAAAAGGAAAATTTATTTTTCACTTGACCACCTGATATCAAGGTTGACGTGGTGGTGGTGGTGGTGGTGGTAAAATCCCTGGAGCTTGACCCCAGAGTGGTTTGGACACTGGAAAAACAATACATTACAAAATAAATGTTGGTATCTTAACAGACCAGAAAATAGTGATAATGTTTGTTGCTAAATCCTAGCATATCTAAGACTTATGTAAGCACCATCAGGAAATGATTCAGACATGGCAAAGCACAACCTTGAAACTGGTGCACCATTGCAACTATAGAATTACAGCACTTTTATTTCACCATAACAGCTATGAAATCCTGGGATTTGTAGGTTGATGCCACTGCTCTGTCTAAGCATCCTAAATGCTCCTCGCCAAACTACCAATGCCACAGAACCATGGCAGTTACATTGGAATAATAGTGCTATCATTCTGTAATTGTGTACGAGTTTAAGCATTGGAGATGATGATGATGATGATGATGACGACGACGACGACGACTCTGGAACAAGCCAGTAAAGGTGGTCCCAATGGTGATCGGCACACTGGGTGCAGTGCCTTAAGACTTTGGCCTGCACTTAAACACAATCGGCACTGACAAAATTACCATCTGCCAGCTGCAAAAGGCCACCTTACTGGGATATGTATGCATTATTTGCCTATACATCACACAGTCCTAGAGACTTGGGAAGTGTCCGACATGTGGTTCAATACAATAGGCAGTGTAGTGATCTTGTTTGCTGTGTACTAATCTTTTTATGGTTTCAAACAACAACAACAACAACAATTTTATTTATATTCCAATCCATCTCCCAAAAGGGACTCGGGACAGTTTATAAGACACAACAGTGCAAACAGAACAAATAAAATAAGCAACAAAAACAAAATTAGACCTAATCAATAAAAATAAACATCAAAAACATAAGATAACAGCATGCAGAGAATTAACATAGGACAGATCCTTCATTCTGGGGACCAAGGATTGAATCCCTGTTTGGTCATGGATTGGTCAGGGTGACCTTGGGCAAGTCACATCTCTCAGCCTCAGAAGAAGGCAAAACAAACTCCCTCTGAAAAGATCTTGCCAAGCAAGCTCTGTGATAGGTTTGCCATGGGGTCGCAGTAAGTTGGACACGACTTGAAGGCACACAACATCAGTGTGTAATGTTAATGACACCCCTCCTCAATACTAGGCTATAGCTTTTAGGAAGTTTGGGGGTAAGGTGAGGACTACTTGTACCTCTTGACTTGGGCTTAGCTCTCGTTGCCCTGCCTGTTATATGAGGAGCAGGAGACCTTTGAATTACATTTCCCACAACCCTTTACTAAGATTTCTGGAGCTGAAGAGCAAACTACCATGATCCCTCACCCTTGTTCTATGTCAGTGGTTGTCAACCTGTGGGTCCCCAGATGTTTTGGCCTTCAACTCCCATAAATCCTAACAACTGGTAAACTGGCTGGGATTTCTGGGAGCTATAGGCCAAAAACCTGGGGACCCACAGGTTGAGAACCACTGTTCTATAGGATCTGTTGCCTAAGAGCAATTACATGAAGAAAAATCCCCTGCAGGGTAGTGTACATAAGTGAAGTCAATTTGATTTCCTCAAATATTTTTTATGGAGCAAATAATGCAGCTTTGCTATTGGGGATTGTTTGTTCTTGTTTCTCTATAGCCCTTAATGGATGAAACGTTGTCAGCTGCTAAGCAGAACAAGAGTTCTTTCCGGGGAGAGTCTTCTTATCCATATTCAATGCAGACTTCTAACATTTCTATCTTTGCCAACCGATGTCGAACACTCTAAAGAGAAATCAAAGAGCTTTTAAACAAGAGATTTGGTTTCATAAGAAGTCAAGTTTGTACCAAGGAAAGAATGAGGTGCTGTTCCTGCACAATGAATTACAATTGAACAGAAACCAAGGAATTTTAGAGAAGGAAAATAAATTATCTTGTGATGCTTTAAGCCTAGACTGTAGATTTAGCTGTTTACGAAAAGCAAGCAGGTCTTTGTGATGAGGCTGGAGGAGGAGAATAACATTTTGGTCCTATACAAGACTTGGTCAATATTTGAAGAACTATTGTATGTACATACGATATGCTTGCTGGTTAACTTAAATCGAACACTCCTTCTTATGAAATGTGGAAGAGCTTAAGAATCCACATGAAAGTTTGATTAGAGATCAATTTGTAATTAAAATATGAAACCAGAGTTCGAGGATGATTTTTTTAAGAACAGTCTGCTGATATTGTTATGAGAATGTTGTTTAATAAAGTTACATTAATTTGATGTGTTTCGATAATTATATATTTACTTATTTAGGCTATTTTATTGTTCTGTTCTTAATGAACCCATGGTACATTACTCTAAAAAAAGGCTTCAGCCATAATACTTTAGTGAGAATGGTGATACATTTACAAAGCTGATGAACAATGACAATGACAGTATTATTAGAAACAAAATGAAAGCTGTTAGTATCCTGTTTAAAACCAATTCAATGTATTATGAGTTTAGATCAATAAAACCCAATTGAGAAAATAAGGTCAGATTCAGACATAATCATAAAAAATAGTTAGCATGATTTAAACAACACTGCATATGTTTCAGCATTGGACATTTCATATCCCCTTCTCTTTCTCCTTTGTGTAAAGGAGAAGTCATTGATGGCTGGTGAACTTCATGCAACAGGAGCAGTGAATACATATTATTTTTAGCCTGAACTTTAAAGGAGCTATCTGAGGTGCTGAAACATATCTCCAAAAGGGGTTCAATAATATTTATTTATTTACAACATTTCTACCCCATCTTTCTCTAACCTGGAGGCGACTCAAGGCGGCTTTTAGTTGCATATTGTCTTCAGCAATATGCAACTAAAAAAAAACATTTAAAACAGATTTATAAAATGCATGCATTAAGACCTTTAAAAACATATAAAAACAATACCTTCACTGTACAATGATGATGATGATGATGATGATGATACACTTTATTTATATTCCGCTCAATGTCCCCAAGGGAACTCAGAGTGGATTACAGTATACACACATATAGGCAAACATTAAATGCCTTTTATACAGTGAACAGTGACATACAATATACAAACAAACATATAGGTTTCTCTTTCCATCTCTGGCATCTAGAGGCAACACTCAACTCTGGCCATGGGGAGGTGCTCTTGTTCCATTTTTACATGCCAAAGAACCTGTTGCCACATACCCTCTTGGTCGTGTTTTGCCAGCATTGCTGCATGGGTGCCTTTTACCTTCCCACCTAGGCAGTACTTATTGATCTATTCACATTACATGTTTTTGTACTGCTAGGTTGGCAGGAGCTAGGGCTAATAGCAGGAGCACACCTGGAATTGCTAACTCTCCAGTCAGCAAGTTTTTCTGCAGCTAGCAGTTTAACCTGCTATGCTACCGTGGCCCCATTTCAGTACCCTGGACAATTCCCATAAAGTTCATGTCAAAACACAGGGTGGGTTCAGCAACCCACTGAAAGCTTTCTCATTGCACTTCAGAAGATAGTACAGTTCCCTTTAATGGTTCATCTTTGGGAGTGATGGGTGGTTCTAACTTTAGTTAGCTAAACTAAATTGAATTATTATATCATGGCAAGTTTTAACTAACATTTTTAAAGAAATTACTATTTCAATAGTTTAGAAATCAAGGCATTGTTAGTACTAAACTGTGAAAGCATTTATATCAGATTCAGGAATGTTCACTGACACAATGCTGAAATATTCTGGAATAAGGCAACTTCTCATAGTAGCAGATTTTAATTGGGTGAGATTTCAAAGGAATTGCTTTAATAAAGATTTGATGCTCTGTTAAAGTAGGTACTTGGAGAGGAGAACCATACAGCATAACCAATGTTAAGTAATGCTGGGATTTGCAGTCCAACAACATCTGGATGCCTGCGCTTTATCCTTTCCTGCATTAAGTTCCTTGTGAAGAAGAGTGTGCAAACAACAGGCTAATACAACATTATTTATTATCCTGCCTGAGATACTGGGAGAGTCTGATATAATAAGATGAGCAGTGAAAGAGCCTTTTGCCTGAACCAGCCAGCAAATTAGAAAGTCTTCAGTTAGCCATATTTTCCCAATGGAAAACTGGGAATATATGATTAAATGGTTTTGGAAGAAGCTAGGGCATATTAAATAGAATTCGGTAACACCCTGCTTTGATTGCTCACAACATAAAGGGAAAGATGAATGACCTGTATTCACTGCCAAACAGATTGTCCATATTATGGCTCATAAAAAACGAGAATACAATCATCTGAGAATGATCAAACCTAAGAGTTTTCTCTCACTGGTTATACTAATGCCTTGGGAAAAATAATAGCCAGTGGTATCTACCATGTGAGAATCTGTACTGTGTAGACATTATGATTGTTGGATGTAGATTCCAGGAGACCAGGTTTTTAATTCCTGCTCAGACATGGAAATCCACTGGTGATCCTTAAAAGAAGACATTGCAATTTCCTTGCAAGAAATCTTGTCAAGAAAATGCTATTGACAAAGCTCCCGTCAGTTGGAATAGACTTAAAGGCACATGACGGCAACAATGTTCCATGCAAAATGTAATTAAACTATTTCCTCTTATTTCTTCTCCCTCCCCGTTTACTTTTTCAGTATGGGGTACTGCATCCTCTTGGTTCATGGCCTAAACAAGCTTTGCACATGGCTGAACAAATGGGGTGCCACTGCTGTGACAATCTCAGCTTTGCTTCTGCTGTTGTTCTCTTGGAAAACGGTGAAACAGAATGAAATTTGGTTATCACGAGAGTCCCTTTTCAGGTAAGACTGCTTCAAGGTAAACTTTGGGGCAGAAGACATGCGTTGAGTTTCTGTGGGTGTTTAATGCAAATCTAGGTTGCATTTCGGTATTTTTGTTCCTGGGATATTTATATTTGGAAGAATCCTTTGGACAATAGCTATTTTGACTTCCATTTATTTTATTTAGTTCAGAAGCGAATTGAGAATACAGTTATAATGTACAGAAAAACCCACAAACAAAGTTAAAAACTTGGCATCCTACAATTTCCTTTGACCAGAAGCTGGCCTCTTGAAGTGCCTGTAGTGTTGCTGTAAGAAGGTCCTTCATTGTGCATGTGGCAGGGCTCAGACTGCATTGTAGTAAGTCATCTGTAGTTTGCTCTTCTCCACACTCACATGTCATGGACTCCACTTGGTAGCCCCATTTCCTAAGGTTGGCTTTGCATCTCATGGTGCCAGAGCATAGTCTGTTCGGGACCTTCCAGGTCGCCCAGTCTTCTGTGTGCCTAGAGGGGAGTTTCTCATTTGGTATCAACCACTGATTGAGGTTCCATGTTTTAGCTTGCCACTTTTGGACTCTCGCTTGCTGAGGTGTCCTGTGCGTTTCTCTGTAGATCTTAGGAAGCTCTTTCTTAATTTAAGGCATTGGCTTGCTTGCTGATACCCAAACAGAGGATGGGTCAGAGATGTCCCATGGAAGTATGTATCATAACTTACATGAAGCATACTTTTTAGACTATTGATCAAGGACTTGAGAAATCCAGATTCTAATACATACTCAACCTTGAATACACTGTTTACTTTGGTCTGATATTCTCTCCATTAGCCTCATCTGTTCACAGGGCTGTTGTGAAGTTCAAGTGGGGAGGAAAAAAGTCAGATAGCCTGTTTTATGAGTACTGGATGCAAAGAAAGTAATAATTGCAGTGGACCCTGTGTATTTCCTGTGGTTTAATGCTGGGACTCCTTAATATTAAAATTTGTGGATGCCGAAGTCCCATTATATACAATGTTGTAATGAAATGACATCCCTTGCATAAAACAGCCAACAATTCAAATGTGTATGAACCTAAAGTACTGTAAAATGGCAGGAGTCCACAGTTATTTATTTACAGTATTTATATTCTTCCCTTCTCACCCCAAAGAGGATTCAGGGCGGATCACATAACACGTTCAATGCTGATTATACAATAACAAGATATATATATAGAGAGAGGGGGGGTGGGGGTGGGTGGGCTTTCTCCATCTTTTGGCATCTTTGGATGGAGGCTGTGCTCGGTTCTGGCCACAGGGGGGTGGTGTCGCTCCATCTCCTTGCTGAATAGCTTTCTTTGTTCGTAAACTTCCTCCTTTTTCTGATGGAAATGCCCAGTTTATGTATTTATTCACATTTGTTCTAGAACTGCTAGGTTGGCAGAAGCTGGGCTAAAGGTCAGGTGCTCACCCTGACCTGGGCTTTGAAACGTCAGTCTTCCAGTTGGCAAGATTTATTGCAGCTTGGTTATTAACCTGCTGTGCTAAAGCCCAGCCCTGTTAAGGCTGCTTATCAGCGTAGTGCTCAAACAAGGTCTCTTTTTGGGATTTTTCCTCCAATATTTTTGAGTTGTGGTTGGTTGAATCCATGAATGTAAAACTGACTATATTAAGTAGACTATAAATAGGAGATAGTGAAGGATGGAAGGTTTATTATTAGATGGTGTCACTCTTCCATGGGGAATCATGCCATTGGAATGACGCTCTCTAGGATTTCCCTGTTTAAATGCAGCTTTTTCTTAATCAATACTGCCTCTACTGAAGTTAAATTTGCTGAATAGGAATTCCTTTCCCACCTATTCCCCAAAGAGAGCCCCTTTGCCCCTTTCTCTTTGTATTCACTAACTACAAACCTAGCAGTCCAGTGCATGCAGCCTGCCTTGTTTTTGTGCATAGCAAACAGAATTATTTAATAAGCTCACTTTTGGACGATCAATGGAAGGCAATTTAACAGGAGGTTGCACAGCAAACAGTTTATCATAGTGGAAAACTTTATTACTGGTGGTGGTGGTGATTTACAGGACAAAGCAGGAGGAAAACCAAACTCAGCTTAATTTTTAGTATCTCTCTTGGAACACCATCCATTTTTAAGTGGCTACACTGTCATGGCTACTTTGGGAATTATGGTTTGGCGAGAGTGTTGGGAAGTGAATGCTTGGCACCCCCAAACTCTGCACTAAAAAATAAGAACAAGTGGGTACCATCTTGACCATAAGAACAACCCAAATGTCATTTTAGGCTAATACCTTTAGTAGGCCAGCCAACTGACAAGGTAAATGTATAGTCAGTATCTCTCTCTCAGTGTTTCAAATATCCGGATCTGTTCCTCCTGCAAGATAACTTATTGACGTCTTTAGATCAGTGATTCTCAACCTCTAAATGCCCAGATGTTTTGGCCTTCAACTCCCAGAAATCCAAACAGATGGTAAACTGGGATTTCTGGGAGTTGTCAGCCAAAACACCTGGGGACTCACAGGTTGAGAACCATTGCTTTAGATGTAATGGAAGAGGAAATTTGTAAGCAGTTTAAGTGATGCAATGGTTTTTGAGTTTGCCTGAAGTAACTTCTAAAACAGGGATGGGAGTCATGTAGCTCTCTTGACAGGCATGTACCTGGGGGGGGGGGGCTCGGGGGGCTTCAGCCCCCCCCCCAAATTCTCATGGTGGTTCGCGAAAAGGCCTTACTGGTACATTATTTAAACTGTTATGTTTATTCATATCATGATCTGATCACCATACTCAATATATCCCATATGCATGGGGGTATTGGGGTAACGATACAAAAGGTTTGCTAGGGTAGACCCTCTTTCACTCAGACTCAGCACCCCCCCCCCCCCCCCCGAATCAAAATCCTGGCTATGGGCCTGTCTCTTGATGTTGTTAGACTAGAAATCCTAGCACAGGCATGAACAAACTTAGCCCTCCAGGTGTTTTGGACTTCAACTCCCACAATTCCTAACAGCCTCAGGCCACTCCCAGGAAAGCAAATTGCATTGGATAGACCACATCAGCTCTAGTTTCTGATACAGAATATATGCCATCCACTAGTTGCCATCTGCTCGCCCACAGAAAACCGTATTTAATAATCTTTAGTTGATGTGGTAGTAGCAATCTTTTGTGGGTAGTCAGCCTCTCTCTTCCTGACATCCTCGTTGCCTTGATACTATTAGAGTGCTTCACGAGATAAGTCACTCTTGTTGCTGTGTTGTTTTGAGGCAACGCTGTAGTAATGGTGGGGGCGTGGATCATATTTTTGTTCTTGTGGACCACTGGTGGTCTGCAGACCACAGGTTGGGAGCCACTGATATAACCAGAGTTGAGAAATGATGGGAGTTGTAGTCCAGCAATATCTAAGAAGGCAGATAATTTTCATCCCAGCTATCAGCAGGTAGACCGAAAGTTTTGATCTTCTTTTTTAAAGCATGCAAAATATTCCAGCTGTAAACTCAGAAATTGGTGACCCTCAAAGGCAGTGGTTCCCAACCTATTTTTTTTTACTAGGGACCACTTTGACCAGGGACCACTCTCCAACATGAGTACCAAAAGGGTTATGAAATGGTTTTTGATCAGCTTTAGATTCGGTTTGGTTATTTGGGGTGCTGATTCAGAAAATTGCATTGGATAGACCACATCAACCCGTGCTTCTGATACAGAACACATGCCATCCACTCATAGCCATCTGCACACCCACAGAAAAACATATTTAGTAAGCCTCAGCACTATAAAAGGGTTTTGCAAGACCAGTCACTCTTGTTGCAATGCTGTAATAACTATGAGACCACAGACCATATTTTAGTTCTTGCGAACCACTGGTGGTCCACAGAACACAGATTGGGAACCACTACTCAAAGGGAATAATTGGGAACCAGCAACTAGACAGTATTTATATTGAGAAACTTGGTAACACTTTGAGATGCTGGACTAGATAGAAAAAGGAAATAGAAGGAAAATGGGTTGTTTTCCATAGCGCACTATGTGGGAACAAAACCCCGGTTTCGATGGATACAACCCCCTTTTCCTTTGGAGTAAAGTCTTAGCATTGCTCAGCTAAATCTGATATTCTCCAAGATTCGGTTAATTCAAGTGTAACTGAAATGGATGTGGTTTGTGTCAGTACACTGTGTAGCAGGTTGGTCTGTGAGAAACACCACAGCAATCAATTAGGAAGGAAATCACACTGAGACATTGTTCCCAAATGCAGTATATGTATGTTTATTTTTCTTTTCTTTTCTCAGCTCTTTGAATTGTTATGTATTTTCTGAGGGGAATAATATTAATGGTTAGGAATTCACGCTGGGCAAACATGCACGGAAAATATGAGTTGCAAGACTGAAGGGAATGAAAATGGGGAAACATTTCATGTTGCTTTGTTGTTTGTTCTCCACTTTCCCCCGCTTGTTTGGTGCAGGGATATTTATTATTTCCTCTTCTAATTGGGAAATACTGTCCTGAGCAGATCAGGTTTCAGAAATGCCATTTGATGAGTATCGCAGAACCAACTGAAATAATAGGCTGAGGATAGAAATGGACTTTCTTTGTAGTAGCTGAAAAAGTGGGATGATAGATGATCTCTGCCAAATCAGGATAGTTAATGGTTATGATTCTGCATTCAGCTTTCCACATTTGCTGGGGTTAGGGGCACAGGACCACTGGGAAAGTCAAAAACTTAAGATAAAAGAAATGGCTGTATTGCCTGAGAGAATATCATCAGACCAGTGATTCTTAGTCTTCCTATTGCCGCGACCCCTTAATACAGTTCTTCATGTTGTGGTGACCCCCAACCATAAAATTATTTTAGTTGCTACTTCATAGCTGTAATTTTGCTACTGTTATGAATCATAATGTAAATATCCAATATGCAGGATGTATATATTCACTGTACCAAATTTGGCACAATTACCCGATACGTCCAAATTTGAATACTGGTGGGGTTAGGAGGGGATTGATTTTTTTCATTTGGGACTTGTAGTTTGCTAGGATTTATAGTTAACCTACAATCACAAAGCATTCTGAACCAACATTGGAATTGAACCAGACTTCGCACACAGAACTCCCATGACCAACAGAAGTTACTGGAAGGTTTGGTGGGCATTGAGCTTGAATTTTGGAGTTGTAGTTCACCTATATCAGGAGAGTGCTGTGGACTCAAACAGTGATGGATCTCGACCAAACTTGGCACGATTGCTCAATATGCCCAAATGTGAACACTGGTGGAGTTTGTGGAAAATAGCCCTTGACATTTGGGAGTTGTAGTTGCTGGGATTTATAGTTCACCTACAATTCTGAACCCCACCAATGATAGAATTGGACCAAACTTCCCACAGAGAATCCCCGTGACCAACAAAAAATACTGTGTTTTCTGATGATCTTCGGCAACCCCCCTGACACTCCCTTGCGACGTTCCCAGGAGTCCCAACCCCCAGGTTGAGAAAGACTGCACTAGACATTTCTAAGTCTTCCAGCACAGCTCTGTGGGCAACATTTGCTGGAAGCTGACTATAGAATTGCATTGGGGAAAACTCAGGAATAAAAAGCAAAATGGTGTGACACTATCTTTGTCTTGTTTTTCATTTGTAGGTCAGGAGTCCAGACTCTGCCCCATAATGCCAAGGTGCACTATAACTATGCCAATTTTCTGAAAGACCAAGGCCGTGACCGTGAAGCCATCTACCACTACAAAACAGCACTTGAGTAAGTTTTCTAGAGTTAACCTTCATCCTTATCTGGTTAGTCCATAGTAAATATGTACTGATGTTTCTCCTCTTACTTTCTGGGGAAAGGGAATTAAAATGTTTGTTCTGCATGCTTTGTGCTTTTCATTAAATATTTGTTAACAAAGTCATACTAGACTATCCTTTTAAAAGTTGTTTAGCCTGCAATCCTATACAGGCAGCTTGAGAGTACCAACGGACTCAATTACATAGCTAATCAGAAGTAAATCCCATTGTAGAATTATACCCTGAAGTGCTGGATTCTGTTTGAGCTTGGAAGCTAAACAGGGTCAGCAAGTTACTCCTTGGATTGGAGACTGCTAAAGAATTCCACATGCTGTAGCTTATATTTCAGAGGAAAGCAATGGCAGAAGCAATACTTCTTATTTATTTATTTATGTACAGTATTTATATTCTGCCCTCACCCCACAGGGGACTCAGGGCGAATCACAATGTACATATACATGGCAAACCTTCAATGCTATGGACACACAACACATATAGACAGACAGTCAGAGACTATTTAACATTCCAACTTTTTCTGGCCACCAGGGGAGCTGTCGCTTCACCGTCCATCTGTGACACTGATGAAGTACTTCCTCATTCCCCGCATGCTTGCTGATCTTAATGGCCTCGTAAATTAGTTAAATTACCCTCCCCACAAATTGGTACCAAAATTTCCTACTTGACAGATGCAACTGTCTTTCGGGTTGCAAAGGTCGACAACAAGCTACACAAATTTGGTTGAAAGCTCACTCCAACCCAAGCTGGCTTCAAACTCATGACCTTTTGGTCAGCTGACACAGCTAGCTGCGCCACAGTCCCGGTGCAACTTCTGAGTATTCCTTGCCTAAGAAAACCCCATAAAATTCATGGAGTTGCCCTACATGAATAGGCAACTTGAAAGCATGTAAACACAAATCCTGTTGTGTCTCAGCTACTTGAAAGTGTGCCTCATATTGTACTATTGAACCCATTGAACTCAGTGGCAGTGCTTCTGAGTAAATATCTATGGGATATGCAGTTACAGTGTTCCTTCAGTTATCGCAGGTTTGCAGGTATTACGCTCCAGGACCACCCATGAAAAGTGAAAATCCGCGAAGTAGGGATGTGTGTGTGTGTGTGTGTGTGTATATATGTAAATGTATATATATAATTCCGAGAGTGAGACAGAAGCGAGGAGAGGTTTAAAGGCACCACACACTTTTTTTCTAGCTATAAGGAAGGGGCTATAAGGCCATGATTTACATACTGCTTTCTATCTCCTCTATCTCTTTTTAAATGACTGGCTGCCTCTCTCTCGAGGAGGAGGGTGAAACCCCCTTCCATACTCCATCATTGCCAGGATGGCAAAAACCCGTGAAACAGCGAGTCCGCAAAAAGCGAACCACGAAGCAGTGAGGGAATACTGCACTTTGCATTACTGTTACGAGTTATTGAATGGTAGATTTGTCCTATTCTGGTTGGACATTGCAAGTAACCTCTTGTTTTTAAATACAACCGTTCTAATTATACAGAGGAATTATTTTTTCATTACAAGATGGTTAAATGGTGTATGGTTGTATCAGAAAGGTGTCTGTCTGGCTGTATTTTCCTTTATAGCAGGCATGAGCAAAGTTTGGCCCTCCAGGTGTTTTGGACTTCAACTCCCACAATTCCTAACAGCCGGTAGGCTGTTAGGAATTGTGGGAGTTGAAGTCCAAAACACCTGGAGGGCTGAAGTTTGCCCATGCCTGCTTTATAGGATGCAGTGTATGTGGCATAATGTAAAATAAACCATGTGTAGTTCACATTTGATCAGCCCACACACTGTCTTGCCAGATAAAGAAAGTATGCCATGCAGATGAACAATAAAGAACAAGTAGTTTACACTTCGTAAATCAGAACAACATATTTTCAATCATGTGATCAGTTGCATCGAGTCACATAATGTCCTTTATGAGAGATTTAAAATGGTCATTCTATGTCCATGTGGATAAAATCCTTCAGCAGCTCATGAAGTGAGAGCACACTTCAAACTCTCTCTCTGCTTTCTGTAAGCACCTGCATAGCTTCAGTCTGAAAAATGTAACAGTATCCAAAAGTCCCAGGCTTATCTTGCTCCCTGGGCATAGTCCCACCAATCAGCTTCAAGTGGGAAAGCAGGAGAACAACAACTTTTCTATGTGTGGATTGTCCTCTCAAAACCACAGTCTCCAGAGGTACTTTTCCCATCCTGGAGTGAGGTGTGGTGAGAAAGCAGAGCCTTAGGATTTTTTGCTGCAAGGCTAGAAACAGCTGGGAAAGGTGATTTTGAGCAGATGAATAAAACCATGCAAAAGAGTTGAGCAGTCCACGTACTTTCCATTCCACCACTCAATCTGGCAGGCTCTCACAGCTGCTTTTTATTTAAAAATAAACACACACACACACAGTTTCAGAGGCAGTTCAGATCACACATCTTTTATTAAACTCCAAGTTGGTCCTGTGCCAAATGCTTCTAAAATGGTGTACAAAAACCTGGAGCAAGGTGACTGGAGCAAGGTGTTTCTAAGAAATATAGGGAGCCAAATATTGGCATTTCATTATAGATGTTTAAAAATATGAAGCCGAGATGAATCAATCATATTTTTCCTTCTGGAGTTTCATTTTTGTTTGTGGCTGAGCTACAAAGAATGTGGGGTGTTAGCCATCCTCCTCATGTGCCGAGCATAAGACAGGCAAAAGTCAACTTTTCAGAATGGCACTTTCTTCAAGCTTAGCTTGGATTTGTGCCCCTTTAGTTCAGTGCCTAAATAGAAAATACGGAATCATAGAGCACAACTCATTCTTTCTCCCCTTTCCTTTCTTGTCCTGTCTGTATGTGTGACCTCCATTTTTTCATTTCTCCTGACCTCAGTCGACTGAAGGTCTTTTGCTTCCGTGAGCAATTCCTCCCACTCTGTCCAGCTACAGATGGCTCTTCCACCCTGAACATCCCTCCCTTTTTATCCCATTGTTCATAAAGAAAGAAAGAAAACCCAAAAAATTTTCTTTGCTCTCCTTAAACTTCCTTCCCGGTTGTCACCTTGAGATCCTTAAGAGGCAACTTCAAGAATATTTATATCCAGCTTTTTGGCCTTAATATGGAGCCAAAAGTCAGGTACAGATATTCTCCTTACATCTTACATCTATATAAATAAAAATGTAATGTTCGTTTGTGGGATCAACATAACTCAAAAACCACTGGACGAATTGACACTAAATTTGGACACTATACCCCTAACAGACCAATGAGTGACCATCAGTAGAAAGGACTTAAAAACCCCAAAAAGCTAAATGACAAAAAAACCTAAATGATGATACAGAAATAAAGGGAAGGAAGAGGCGGGGGGGGAAGGAAGGAGAGGAAGGAAGGAAGGAAGGAAAGAAGAGGGAGGGAGGGAGGGAGGGAGGGAGAGAAAGAAAGAAAGAAAGAAAGAAAGAAAGAAAGAAAGAAAGAAAAAAGGAAGCATGGAAGCAGAGAGTGAAGAAAGGAAGAAAAGAGGTAGAGAAGGAAGAAAGGAGAGAAAGAGGAAGGAAAAGAAAAAGGGGGAGGGAAAGAAAGGTAGAGAAGGAAGGAAGTAGAGAAGGAAAGAAAAAAGGGAGGAAAGGAAAGAGGGAGCAAAGGAAGGAGAGAAAGAGGGAGGGAAGGACAGAAGGAAAGAGAAGGAAGCATGGTAGCAAAAAGCTAAGGAAGGAAGGAAAGAGGTAGAGAAGGAAGAAAGGAGAGGAAGAAAAAGAAAAGGGGGAAGGGAAGGAAAGAAGGAGAGAAGGAAAGAAGGAGAGAAGGAAAGAAGAAAAGGGAATTAAGGAAGGAAAGAGGAAGCAAAGGAAGGAGGGAAAGAAGGAGAGAAAGAGGGAGGGAAGGCTGGCCACAGCAACGCGTGGTGGGTACAGCTAGTAACAAATAAAGAAATTGCCAGAAGTAGCAATGTTAGTGTGATTCAGTAAAAAAAGAAAAAGGAGTGGAGAAAGGAATCTGGTAGCATCTCACTGATTTATTTTACTATGGGTTTTTAAGGGGTTCAATCCATGACGTAAAGTAATAATAACATTTGTCTAAATTCTTTCCACCCTACTCTTGGCCTTTCATCTTTATCTCTTTCCTCTATTATTTATCTTGACTCAAAGATGAGCAACATGTGGCCCTCCATAGATATTTTTATAGCACTCAAATCCACCAGATATTGCTGGAATGCCAATCTTGCCCTCCATATTATTTATGTTATTTTATTTATATCATACCGTCCTTTTCATGTGCCGTCCACTACACAAAACCTCATTTTTTATCATGTCAGAAGTGAATTGAGAATATACTGCAAGTCACTTCTGCTGTGAGAGAATTGGCCATCTGCAAGGATGCTACCCAGGGGACACCCAGATGTGTTACCATCCTGTGGCAGGCTTCTCTAGTGTCCCCACATGGGAAGCTGGGGCTGATAGATGGGAGCTCATCCAATCTCGCAGATTCGAACTGCCGACCTTTTGGTCTTTAGGTCAGCAGTTCAGCCAGCACAAGAGTTTAACCTGTTGTGCCACCGTGGCTCCCACAAAACCTCCTGAAATGGGGTGTCACTTTTAAAATAGGTTGTTAGGAGCCAATTTAGGTTTTTCAAAACAAGATATAGACTTCTAGATACTTGGTTTCTGTCCCATTTTTGGCAGCCTCAGAGAGGGAAGAAATTGACCCCCTGATGTCCATTATTATCTTTGGTTGTAAGGACTTGGCCTTAGTTTAGAGATGGTTCTATTATTGAATGAGAAAAGTACTTCAGGGATTTTGTTTTGGGTGACATGATAGTACAGAAAATTGTTAGTTACTTTAAAAATTGGTGGAATTTTTTTACTTTTAGCAGGGGGAGAGATATGTGGGGGACTTTGTGCCTCGTGCATCAAAATAACCTTACTGTCCATGGAAACTCTGCTGCTAGCTTGATGTGGGCAGAGGAAGATGCCATATGATGTTCTGTATTAAGCAAC